CCAGCAAAACGAAACTTGCTAATGATTCCAAGTTAGCATTAATATTGCTTCGACGCTTCCTCCTTTCTTCATCTTCTTTGAGCATTTGGCAACTTGCCCTCACAATTCAATTACTGTTCTCTCATTTTGCCTTCATTCTCAAAGCCTATTAAGTTTTGTGAATACCTCCTCTCTCTGCTTCCTGAGACAACATAAACTCCATGAATTGCTCTCTGTACAAGTTTGGCATGAATGCTACATCATCAAAAGACAAGAAAATACATTATTGTCAATACAATACTCCTGGTATTCTTAATGACTAGGAAGTGAGATTTCTTAAGCTGCATTCCACCATGCAGTGATCCTCTTTGTATAGAATCTTAGACATTAATGGAAAGCTACTCTTCTTTGTCTCCTACTCCATTTAGTCAGCAGCTTCATCTGAAGCAAACTGCCTTCCTGTTTAGCTTTGGAACACTTAGTTGTTCTAGAAACTGAAACCATGTTGCCAATATTAATAAAATAATTTTCCAACCATGAGTGAGGAGTCATGACAGCTTAGTATGACTACAGAAGCACGCATCTGCATAGCACTATTACATGGGAAGCTTACAGTTACTCTAGAGCCCCACTGCACTAGCACATCTGAATTCGAGGCTGCACAACACATTCTTTGCACCTCAACTGACTTGGCAGGCTTTAACAAGGCAGTAGGATGATAACCATTTCACATTTTGTTTTTTTCAGGTTAAATGAAGGAGATGCCTACTACCTCCTCAAGGATTTTGTACTCCTGATTCAGTCCATAAGGTATGATGACCAACGTGTGCTTTCAATATTTACTACCTTAAAAAAAAAAAATAAACAAAAAAACACCTTAAAAGTGAAATAATACTTTTTTGTTTTTCTTTTTGTAAAAAACAGAACCTCCCTGAGCGAACTGTGCGATGATCCCAATGATAATGTTCTGCTGGCATTTCAAAAACTGGGAGAAGTCTACGAAAGTAAACTCAATGCAGTCTGAGTCTTTTGTTTACAATGGATGACTGTGTGTAGGGTGGGGTGTAACACACAAAAAACCTCCACAAAAAACAACCAACAAAAATCAAAGAACACCAACCTAAAAACCAGTACTACATAATATTCTTACCATATGAACACTATCGGCTATCTTGTAAATTAGAAAGTGACTGAATGTTCAGATGTATTTCATGATAAAATTTTAGTAAAACCCACTATTAGAAATGAAAGATTAGCACAGAAAATTCATTTTGTCATATTAATGTTTTAGTAATTCTAATGTCTACTACATTATAGCTGTAATGTATTTCAAAAGTACGTAATTGCACATTGTGGAAGCAGATTTTCTTTTCAGTCAGTGTTTTAAATTAAGACAGTTCTCAAATAGAATGAATGAGTGTAAGAATTGTGAGGCGCTAATCTTACCAGCTGCAAGTAGGAAAGCACTGGAAACTTTCAGCTCATTTCTTTGGCAATGCAAATAAAATCAACTGTTCTATTGATTTTATATGGTTTTAATAGGTAGTACCATTCTCAACGTTTGCAGAAGCTCTTAAGTCTGACTGCAGCTGTACTCTACGAAACTTGAAGTATAAAGAAGCTTGTATCAAAATAAAGTTTAATAACATGCTCTGCACATTACGTTGCCTCATTTTTCACCTGTTGTACCCTTAAGAGTAAGAAAGATCAAAGGCACCATTAACGTAGCACTTGACCAAGTTCTCTGTCACAAAAGTTGACTGAAGTGTTTTCTATTTCTATGCTCTGTGGTTGTTTTCACAGGGAGGAAAAAAACCCCAACTTTTTCATGTGTTAATAGTTCTTCAGTTTAACCAGATTTTTGTCTACCTGTAGTCTAAATATGTAGCTGTGCACACAGCATATTACAGGTACAACATCCACTCACTGTTTAGAGGGATAATAAAGCATCCTTTGTAGCCCCTGAATGAAGAATGGTTTGGGGTGGAAGGGTCCTTGAAGATCACCTAGCCCCAACCCCCTGCTATAGGCAGGGACACCTCCCTCTAGATCAGGTTGGTCACAGCCCCATCCAGCCTGGCCTTGAATGTCTCCAGGGTGGGGGCATCTAAAACCTCCTCACTGTCAACAAACTGAACGAAGTTATTACTGATAAAGTAAAAAGTATATACTAAGAACAATGCAGAATCCTTTTTTGAATTAACTAGTTCTGCTGCTCCTAAGCTTAGCACTGATGAAGTTTTTGACTTGAAATCTCTCTAAGCAACATTAAACTCTCAAGTACGATGTGTTGTGTAGGGGATATTGAGAGGAAGAAACTACGTAGACAGGCTGTGCTGCTGCGCTACTATTAACTGACTGAAGTTTTCCTGCATTTTTAAAACCTATGAAATAAAAATCAGGACTAGAACTGAACATAGTGGCAGATAACTCTTCAATTCTATGTGGAAATAAAACCCAGTAAAGCTTACTCTTTACCATCTGGCAAGTTGTGTTCTACACAGGCAAGTCTTGCACAGCCAGAGTAAAACTGCCCTTATTTATATATTGCCATGTACGTGTTTCCTGATGGAGTAACCTTTATAGCTAGCATACAATTAATTCACTGATCAAATAATAAAGTCAGAATAAACCATATTTGAGAAGGTAGCATGAATTATGGACGAAAAAACAGATTTATGTGTATCAGAGAACACTAATTTTATGTTGAAGACTACTGTCTCATAAAGCCTTAGGCACAGCAGTCTATTTTTTACTTTCAGCAGCATGTCAGAAACACCTCACTTCTTTGAGGACTATCCCAAAGACAAAGACTTTGTACAATAGAAGCAGAGAACTAAGTCTCAAAGTGATTAAAAGTGATGAAGCAACTAAGGAATCAACTTTTGAAAAGATTAAAAATGAGTTGTCTATTAATTTAATGCCTCTCTGGGCTGTAGTGTTACCATGACCTATCGTAGAAGGTCAATATCAAAGTACTGCCCTGTTTCACCTGAAAAATGCTGACCTGCAAACTGTCACTCACCCCCTCAGACCTCTATTTGCCATGCCTGAAAAGTCAGCTTCAGGACTGTACTGAAACCGTGCACCAACAATTTCTCTGGTTGAAAACAGTGCATCACAGTCTGCTTATGTACTTGACCATTTTACAATTATGTCCTTCCACTCAAAGGGAAAGTTTCTAATTTAATTTTAATCAAACTCACGAAGCACTGCAAATTCTGGAAATTAACAGAAGATACAACAGAAGTACGTAATTTAAAGACACTGAGCAGGGTTTCTGAACACTCCTGTCATAGAGGATTTTTTTGATGTAAAAAAAATAATCAACCCCTCATTTTCAGAAATGTAATGTTCTAGCAACAAGTTTCCTAAGGGACTGTATATCTCCACTGCTCCTGTTTTCATCATAGAGAGATCCATGAGGACTGCCACTGTCAGCATGTAATGGCCTCACAGGAATTTAACTTAATACCTTTTTGAACACTTCTCTCCTGTGCATTCTGAAAAAAACATACAGATGTTTTGAGATAAAAGTACACCAATTCTCAGGAAAAAACAGAAAAAACACTTAAGGGATGAACATAAAGAATGATAACACTAACAATACAGAATTTTTGCTATCTTCCTTACCACAACACAGGCACCACGAGAAGATAAGCAAGTTCTAGAAACTGTTTTTCAGCCCATTCAATGGAGGAATTCAGTAGCACCAAAACAGTGCTAGTGAATTCCTGCCAAAAATTTAGAAAAAACCAAAATTGGTTTAGAAAACATTAATTTAAGTATTTCCAAGTTTCTGTCATAGTGAGTAAATGGATAAGCCTCACAGATTTAAATGTAAGTGAAGTCAGATCGTGAACTTGGACATCTTTGGAAAAAAACAAACAAAAAACCCAACAGAACAGAACTGTGATGCCACTGAAAATTTTCAAAGGGATACTGAATGTTTTGCTTCAGAATTTATGATCTGAAACTTGCCAGTTGACATATCCACATAATGGGGGATTTATGTAAGATCTGGCAGCATTCATCTGGAAAGCAAACACTAAAGGAAGGACCTTTAACTTAGCACTGCACTACCAGCTACACCTCCTAATAGCTAAAGCACACACATCTCTTGGCCAACAGGTGAATAAATCAGAACAGAATGGTGAATAGATTAGAAATGACCCAATTTTTACTCTGTGCCATGTTTCACAAAATAAAAATAAAAAAACCAAAATCAATGAGTTTTGGGTAATTAATACTTACAGTTAGAAGTGCAATTTCCTTTTTCCCTGACGTTGCACGAAGATTGAAGGAGATTTTGTTTTAAAGGCTATATCCTCTGGATAATCTCATCAAAACAACAAGTTAGAACTTATCTACTGGTTTCCAAATTGCTGCCAAAGGGAACTGAGAATTAAATCACTTTTTGTAAATGTAGCACTGCAGAAGTGTAGCTGATATACTTCCATGACTACCAAGAAAAATGTGGTAGTATTCCAATTTCAAATGGATCAAATTATTGAAAGTAAACTAGGAGCTGTACCTTCCTTATCCATTAAACACGGCACAGAAAAAGAATACGGTCAAAGGGACATGAAAGACCATTTTTAGTCATGTCTTCTACAACCTTTATTTCCCCAGGGCTCTTCCACGCTCAACAGAATGATAGTGTCCGTGCCCTCCTATCCCATAACCCTACTGCAAGTGCTACTGTACTGAAAGCAATCTATTTTGTCCTGCTACTGGGTCTCCACTGAGCCTGCTCTTGGAGACCTCTGAGTTTCCCTACTACTCCTAATACCCCCATAGCGCTTCCTGGCACTTCTGCTTGTGAAAGACCCAGCACACGCGGTCAATTCTTCAGCCTTTAGGAAGACATGACATTTTTCATTGCTTTTCAGTTTGGATTTTTAGAAAAAAATTCCTTCAGCATACGGTACTTGCTGATAAGCAGCTATGTTTCTACCACATCCCTTAACAGGTAAGATTATCATAAGGAACAGCTATAAAAAGACAGGTAATTCCCACTGTTTAATATGTTATGTGGCGTTTATTTTATTCCATTTTAAGTGGAGCTGTGTTCCATTTCGCCCTCTTCATGTCTCTGACTTTCTTCTAGCAGACACTTCGTCTTCCGTAACAGACAAATATTCTGATGCACTGCTGGTATCACTGGACACTGATGTCTGACTGAGCTTTTCATGTCAGAATCGCTGTCACTTGACATTTCTCTGGCCTCGCTTACTGCAGGCGCAGAACCTACTGAAGGCAAATCATTGCATGCTTCAGGAGCAGAACAAGCTGCGTTCTGAAACGGCACAGACCCAAATTCTTCTTCCCTCCTGGGACAGGAATTGTTGCTTTCAGCAGTCATTTTGTTTTCTTGATGTTTTACCTTTATGTCTTGTTTTGTTGAAGTAACAGTAAGCAGAGTGGCAGATGCATTCCCATTGTTACCAGGAAGGACTGCTGAACATAAAGGCTGAGTAAAGGAAGAATTAATATTAGCAAGTATGTCTGTACTTCCCATGTTCTTAGGTGAGTTCATACAAAAAGAAGAGCCTTCACATTTTCGATGACTGAGTCTAGAAGCAGGCTCTGCACACACTGGATATGCAGAATTTCCTAGATTGTGAGGTGTTTTGCCAAGAGACTTCATTTTTTCTTTCTTGGTTTTGTCAGTACCATTTCTAGACAAAAGCACAGAGGAGGAAGTCAGGGAATCAGAGGTATTTTTGACAATATCTTCACCAGCAATTTCATTTGGAAGTAACTGAAAAGTGCTATTTTTGAAGGAAAATACACAACTGCTGGGGAGAAGGGAGGACTCAGAGATAACATTCACTCCAGCTGCAGTGGTGGTTTCTGAAGTACCACAAGGTACAGTTGTGATGGACTCTGAGGCATTAGTGTTTTGCTCCCATGAGACAGACGGTTTCAGCGTACCATCTGCAGTTTTCTTTAGAGATGTGTTTTTTCCCATGTGAGAGAACACATTTAGGTCAGATGTCTTCTCAGACTGGTTAAAAAGTGAACGTAATGACAAAGTCTTAAATGAATCACTGACTTTCGATGCTGCTAAACATTGTCTTTCTGAACTGCCATTGGAAAAAGAACAAACTGCTTTCTGACTTCCTGCCGATTCTAAATGACAAGCGGTTGAAGCATCAGAAGCTCTGGTTTTGGCTACAGAGCTGCATTTTCTAAACTGGCTTTCGCACCGGTTACCTGCTTTATCTTCACATTTTCCTAGGTAAAATTTAGGGAAAGCGTATTTACTGCCTTTCAAGGAACATGTAGCTGCATCTTTGTTAAGTCTAGGTAATGAGTTGCTACATGCACCACAAGCAGAGAAATCTAAATTTGAATTTGAAACAGTAACAGCTACTGATGCTGCTGGCTTTAAGCCCAATGAAACACTAGAATTTGTGTCCATTTCGTTGGATATTGAAACTGCTGATGACTGCATTGGCAAATTTTCCTGAATTTCTTGGTCTTTAGAGTTTTCTGGTAAGGCTGGAGTGGCTGCTTCCTCTGAACTTCTCTCATGGGCTAAGCTTAAGTCACCATTTGTTTCAGACAATCTAGTACTGGTGGATGGGATGCAACGATTACTACTTCCAGGAAAGCTTGTCTTATCAATACCACTTTCTCTTGACAGGGTTTCCACTTTTACTCTATCCATGTTATTTGCTTTGGTAGTTGAAGATACAACAGGAATTCCTGAGGACTTACTCTTCAAAGCCTCAGCAGCCACAAACTCATACTTTTTACTTGCAGGTAAAGTTTGTATCTTGAGCTTGTTAAGATTCTGATGTTCCATGTAGTATTTGTAACGCAGCTCCTGCAAGTACAGAAAAATATCCTGTTCATAAGCAAAGCAGATACTTGTGAGTGCAGAGGTTATAAAACTCGCTTGATCCAGAGGGTTTTTAAAATATATTCTGAAGTATTTATGGTTTATTTTTCCATTGCTGCTAATTGAACAAGTTTTTTATGGCAGAAGAAATCCTTAAAAAAAATTGAACAAGATACGCATGAAACCACGATGACAAAGTAAGCATTAAAATAAAAAACTATGGGAAAAGTTATTTCAGGTGACTGCCAAACCCAGAAATAGCTAAATTCACTAGCTTAGATGTTGGCAATTACTTAAGAACTCATGAAAAACAACCTTCTACAACCAATTTAGCATTTTACTGGATATAATTAACTATGCTAAATCATGTCTGCAATGGGATAGAAAGTAGATGCTCTCCAAATTAGTAAAACAAAAGAAAAAAATTCATTTGCCATTATTACTGTTCTCAGAACATCACTACCAGCAACACTTCATTAACTGTAACGAGTTTCTTCCTGCACAGAACACTAGACACTGAGCCACCCACGTGTAACTCCTATTAAGTGGGAAGATATAAAAATCTCTCTGTATAACTAGATCCTTGGAAATTATGCTAAAGAGTGACTGGACTCAGTTTGGTGTCCAAACGTCAGGAATTTCTACTATCTTCAGAAAACAGAGCACGTGCAAATTATTTCATCTTCAAACAAGGAACAGAAAAGATGATTTGCATCAGAAAGACAAAGGTGAACATGAAAAGAGTTAGATAAAAAATGCACAGATATCAATTAAGAACAACAATCAAAGGCAAAACACTTAAGACAGATAGTATACAAGTACAGAAAGAAAGTTGTGTCACAACAAACAGTAACTTGTCCATACTTACAGCAGATGCTCAATCGTACCTCGTGACTCAAGTTTTGAAACACTGGCATTTCTGATATTGACATGAGGCGAGTACAGATCCTACCGCTGTCTGTCAGTGCTTCCTCATGTCCTGCTACTGGCTGAAAAACATTTTGCAGCTGACATTGTATGTCTTGTCTGATAAGAAAAAACAAAATACAGAGCTGCTGCCTCACAGTCAACAACTTACAAGAAATGAGTTGGGTGTATTTTTCTGGTCCTGCCACTGGTTTATGATATTTTCCGTTGAGCTCTCATTTCCTCCAGCAGGCAGGTCTATCAGAAACAAAGAAAAAAGAGATGGTCTGCATGCAAAGTATGGGAAATAATGCTATCATTTTCAGGAGAAAAAAAAACAGTTGCAACTGAAAAACTATTTTTATAAAGCAGCGAGAATACTGATTTAATATGAGTTTATAGCTTTAAAATATATCAGTAGATACTTAAATAGAAAAGGTAACAGACAGTGAAATATTGGCTACAGGTAACATCTGAAAGGCACTGGCACTTAATACTGGAATTGCATTAAAAAGGACACAGGCAAACAAAAAACCAGAAGTTCAAGAAACCTATGCTGCAATGGTTAAGAGTCGTACCTAAATAAATATTTGATTCCTATTTTTGTATACTGAAGGGTTCCTTTCTATCTAAGCAGATTCGAAGTAAGAACAAAACTATACTGACAGAATCAGAATCCTAGCACCTGGCTAAACTTCTGTGATACACAGAGGCCCGCTGACAAGTATCTCTCAATGCCTGCAGACACCTGTCCTGATAGGGTAAGAGCACTTCAGCAACTTCTAAGTCAGCAGCAATGGCTGCAATGGCTGCACGGGTAAATGACAGTAATTATTCCTCCAGCTTCCAGAAATACACATTAGGGACTTTTTAGAGAAAGCCCATCTGCAAAGTGTATTTAGAAGCACGTCCTTGATGAATTTACCTTTCATTAATTTGCTCATATGCTTTCTTAACTCTTGCATGCTCCAGCCACACCAATTCTTTTTGAACAATCAATTCAACAAGTTGCGGATTACGAGAGGGAAGTTCTGAATCTCGTTCTTTTAAGAAGTCCCTCTATCCTACCTTTAGTTGTGTCCACATTAAGTGGCACTAATTTCAAAGCCAAGATTTCATTAACCACAGGTTTGATATCCATTTTCTTCCGAGCGTTCTCTGGTGGCTTTTTATAGCTGGATGCTATATTCATCAGGTCAAGCTGAGTTTTCATTCTGGACAAGTAAATAACAAACACACGCCTGTTTCTTACGGTTTATATGCCAACAAGAAGATTACAGCTGCTTAATAAAAATGAAAAAGTTATTTAAAAAATCAGTAAAAAGAAATCAGAAAGCGTTAAATCTTCAGTAAAATGTCGTTTCCCACATCTTTTTAAACTTAAAACTTACTACTTGACAGACCATTTGAAATATGTTTAATACGCAATGCAAACTGCAAAAAGCTGGACCTCTGGTTCAGCCAAAAGATTGGAAACTATTATTAAAGCATTATCTATTATAGCCTGAATCTAACTTGTACTCATTCTTCAGAGGGTACTGCTAGCACGTGCTACAAGACATTGTAGAGAACTCCACTTCTAACGCTCCTGTTTAAACTCTGATTAGAAAGCCATCGCATAAGCAGCAGATGTAATTAAAAAGCTTTAGAAAGAAATATTCCAGGTATGTGCATAGCAAACAGAGAATGAAGCCACTGTGAAATCTCCAGATATATTCTTTAAGAGCTATGCAGGGTATCTAAGAACTCCAGAGACACTTCAGTGTTCTCAACACAGAAAAATAGGGTGACACTGACAAATTGCTACACTTCATTTTGGTCAGAGAGCCAATTCTCTGTAATCACAAACAATCCTTCACTGAACTTGACAGATTTCCTAGAATTCTGAACACTGAGCACCCAGAAGTCTAAAAAGCATTAATGTCTTATTTAATAAACATCTTCCTCACTGTGCAATGACGTATCTGACCGTATGCAAAGTGACTGCCTTCTTACTTTTCAATCTTCAAGTTAGAGGAGAACTAACAAAGCATGCAAAGAAATTCATATACCTTGTATTCAAGCCACAGGCCACCTATAAATAAAACAAAAATTCATAAGACACAGATGTATTTGGAGAATTTTCCTCCAATTCACAAAAGAAGATTACTGTGCTTTTAAAATAGCTCAAAGATTAAACTTCCTGCCTTCATTTCACAAGACCGTAGGAAATAAAGCTGCTGACATTATCATTAACTTGAAATAAGTAAGTACAAGAGCAGCCAAACATACAAAAAAGATATTTCTTGGACTATGGTTTATCCTTTAATATTGTATTAAGGAAAAAAAAAAAAGTTATTTCAGAGACAAATGAAAGCATTGAAGTAAAAAAAAAAAAAATTACTGATTAAAGAATGACAGTTCTGTATCATTTCAGACCCTTGTAAATATTCTAATGCAAGACTGTTTTGTAGTTTTTGGTGAGAGAAACCTCTTAGGATACTACTACAGTAAGATTTAAATACTCTGTGTTTTGATTTTTTAGCAGTCAAACTGTTCTGCATGTCTGACAGAAGAACTATCAAAATAACTCCCTCTGGCACGAAGGAGGTTGACTTTCATAGCTGTCAGCATAACACGCAAGGGTTAAATCAAAAGCTGTGTAGTCAATATTAGTTTAATCACTTCTAAATGTAAAGAAAACAGCACCTACTGCATTCACTACGTGTCACAGATAATCTTTAAAGAAAGCTTGTCAAATGTTTCCAAAATGAAAAGTACCCTTATAAAGAAGCAGAGTGTCAAGTAATTTTTGTCATTGGCTAAATTTGCTTTTCCTGATCCAATCTTTATCCCACTACGTAACGTATCAAGCGCTACACAGGATCTGAACTCAGCTATACGACTGATGTCAAGTGAAAAAGATCATCACCTCCAGGAATTGCTGAGGATCACATTCATGAACTAGCTTCTCACAATCGTTCAAAAGATTCTCAATGGTTTTCTTGTGAGTTTCTTTCATTTTCTTCCAAATCTGAAACTCTTTCTCCTTTTTACGCCTTTGATTTTCAAGATCTTCTGTCAACTGCTGTTTCTTCATTTCCAGAGTTTTGGAAATTTCTCCAAATGCCAGCGCAATGATCTCTGCTTCATTACTCAGCACCGTCTAGAAGCATGAAAACATAACAGATGACGATGCGACAGCAACGACTACTCAGAGCAATGTCCTTAAGTTCAGGATGCATCTGTGCCACATAAAGTACCAGCACGCTGTGTTGTGCTTATCCTATCACAAAAACCAGTGTTGCTGTCCAGCTATTACATGAAACCATCAACTCAGAAAACCAGCACACGTAACTCACATCAGTATCATCTGCAGGACTGGAGATCTCATTCATCAGCTTCTCATTTATTATTCTCATTTCTTTTAGACTGCTGAAGAAGTTCAACTGGAAGGCAACAGCAACACTTAGCATGACTTCAACAACCCCCAAAAATAAACACGTTAAGAAGCTGTCTAGAACCACACCACGAGCTACAGCATATAAACAAAAGTGGTGACTCACTGACAACATTTACTGCTTTTTAATAACGTTTACTGCTGTCCCGGTACTTTTGTTACGTTCAAGTAGCGTTTTCAGGCTCACCTGCTCCTCCTGGTACACCGTGTCGATCAGGTTGATGGAGTGAAAGACGCCCTGGTGCTCCTCAGACACGCACTGCCCGCACCCCGCCTGGCGGCACATCCGGCAGTACAGCTGCAGCAGCCGGCCCGGGTGTTTCTGACAGCTTCCCCCGGCCCTGGCCGCGTTCGAGCGGTACAGCCTGACCACCTCGGCCAGCGTGGTGTTAACGGGCAGAGCGGCCGCGCCGCCGCGGGGCAGCGGGCAGAGCTTCCTGCACAGCGGGCACGACACCCGGGCCCCCGCCGCGTCGTCGCCGTCCGCTCCCTGTCCCTGTCCCCCCCGCGCCCCGCGGACCTGCCCGTGGCCCCGCTGCTGCAGCCGGGCGGCCTCCGCCGAGGCCAGACACTCTAACACGCAGCCCCGGCAGAAGTTGTGCGAGCAGAGCGGCAGCGTCACCGGCTCCTCGAAAAGGGACAGGCACACGGCGCACGTCAGACTGGCCTCCATCTGCGACGAGCAGAAGAGCGACCGGGGCCGCGGCTCCATCTCCGCCGATCCCGGCTCTCCCCGCTGCCCGCAGCTCCGCTCCGCGGGCCCCGCCGCCATCGGGCCGGCGGCAACGGTAACTCCCGCCCACTGCAATCGCCAACTTCCCCGGAAGTGGCACGGGGCGGAGAGGAGGCGGGGCACGGAGCCGATTGGGGGAGGCGGGAGATTGGCAGGCGCGCCGTCCAAACGGAGCGGGGCCTGGGCCGCTCGCGAGAGGCCCTTTCACGCGACGCCTGCCGGCCGTTTCCCTTCCTGCCGCCATTTTGTGAGCGTTTGCCTTCGCGAGGTTTTCGCCCTGGCCGTCGCAGTGAGCGGGTCGGTGCGGGGGGGTTTGCGCTTGAGGGAAAAAGGCTGCGGTTGAGAGAAACGTTTTCCCCTGCACAGCGGTGAGGTGAGTTGGTTACCTGTAATTACGCTTGCAAGACTGCAGCTCAAGTTTAGCGTTTCGTTAATGCTAATTATATTGGCAGCGAGCTTATCGCCATCTTTCTTTTTGGGCAGGCGGCTTCTTTTTTAGCACCATTCAGTCTAAAATTCTGCCTCAACGATTCTGTTTTGTACCCCGAGTATTTTGGAGTTTCTCAAACGCAAAGGGGCCCGCTTAAAGTCTCAAGTTTATGCTAAGTTTTATGAAGCGAGTGTTTGTGAAAGCCGAGAAAACACTTGGAACGTGTTGTTTTCAGACGGGAGGTGGTGCGGCAGCACCAAGTCGAGCACATATTTGTTGTAATGGTGGTGTTTTGTTGTGTAACACCGAGCTTTGCTGGCAGAAAGTCGCGGTGCCTACTTGGCACAAAGCGAAGGTCCGTGTTAGGATGGAAGATCTGTAGGAAAATGAGGCAAAGCAAAAAGCAGAAGCGATTCATTTTCCCATACTTGCAAGTCTGTTGTCAGAACCGATAGAGAGGAGGCTCAAATACACGTGCTAGGCAGTTTAACGGATAGGCTGTAGATAATCTTATAAAGGAGCTTATCTTTGGGTTTATTGCTTTATTCTACGCTTCCTGGGCTGTGGTGTGAGTTGTCACAAAATGTCCTCCTCAGCGTCTGTGAACCTTCGGGCAGGAAGCCTTAGCGGTTGTGAGCCAGCTCAGAACTCACACCCCGAGCGGCTTCCGATGATTTAAATGACAAAGGCGCAAAGGTTTCCAGATTTACTCCTTTGGAGTGGAAGTTCTCTGCAGAAAGCCATGAAATGCCTCGTCTTCCCGTGTTTGTTTTTTTTTCCCCTCATCAAAACAGGTGTGAACAGAATTGAAGGATCGCCACGTCCCTTGTGTTAAGTTTTTGGAGCGTTGCATGATTAAATAATAAACGTGTGCTTACATCAAGTACTTTTACCAATTCTACCATTAATTTACAGTAATAACAGTAGCGGCAACATCAGTCTGAAATTGGGGGTAAAACCATGTTCCTGACAACGTTTCTTTACATTTTTCTTGTCTCAAACAAAGATTTAAAATTGTTAAATGTTTAGCACTGATTTTTCTGATCTTCTGAGTAGATTAGATACCTCCCACAATTACAGTGTGTTGTGTATAGCTTGAATTTCCACTTAAAATCAATTTATACTGTCTTCAAAATCCGTCATCTTCTTTCTTAATAATCTTCAACATCACCAGCACAGATAGCAAGCAAAGCACTCTCATAATGCCCTGAAGCAAAATGCTGCAAGAGAGGGGGGAAAAAAAAAAATAATGTGACTGTATTTCTGTACCGGTTTCAGCTGGGAGAGTTGATGTTCTCAATATTTTATGTTATGATGCCAAGTTTTCTTTTTAAAGGAAAAGTGTTTTCATTTAGCACATTGTTTTAGTTGTTTGCTTAGCAGTATTGCACAGAACGGAGGACGTGTCAGTTTTTCAGCTTCTTGTACTGTCCTGCCACTGTGAGGCTGACTGGTAGAAGGAGCTGCGAGGACACGGAGCTGGGACAGCTCTGACCTAAACTTGGTGGAGATGTATCTTATAACAGCTTGTAGAACTGCAAAACTGAAGGGAGTTGGCAGGGGGACACAGCCCCTGCTTGGTGGCTAGCTGGGCATCAATCAGCAGGTAGTGAGCAAGTGCATTCTTTTTCTTTGTAAATATATATATGAATACAATTATCTTTGCTGTTATTTTTTCCCATGCTCTTCTGTGTTTTATCTCAAACCACAAGTACCCCTTTTTTGTGTGTGTGTCCCTCATCCCGTGAGGAGGGGTAACGAGTGAAAGGCAGTGTGTGGTGCTGAGCTGCTGCTGGGTTAAACCACGACAACTTCACTGCAGTTTTTCTTCTGTGTGTGGCAAGGATTGGAGTGTAGTTGTAAGGTTTTGTCAAATATTGCCATGTTTTTGTAAGGTTTCTGGGGCAGGACTTCTTAATTTCACTCATCTCGGGCTTTGGTTGCTTGGATGCTTACAAGTGATTACCTTGTAAGTTCTGTTTAATGCTTCTCAAGGCCAATAGCAAAAACTAATGAGCAGTTTCCTGCAGCTGTTGCACACCTCACAGCTGGAATATAGCAGCATAAAAAAATGCTCAGAGTCTTAGCCATTGTCATTTTTATACTGTTCACCAGTATATCAAAGTTTAAGATGCAGAGCAAGAATTCTAAAGGAAGATTTATTCTGAAGGCTGGGATTTAAACATGAGGATAAGACTAAAGGTAACAGGAATCTGGTGTCACTCCTGCTACTGAGGAGGGACAAAATCGTTAAGGCTTGAGAATTTACTGCTTGTTTCCCTAGGTAAGCCAGAGACATTGGAAATGTATATTGTGGATATTGTATTTTTTTTAATCCATAGGGATTGAATGGATTTTTCTGAGAGGACTCTGCTAATAGTGCGTGTGCTGAATATATCTAGAAGGGATTAGGAACTTACTTTAATATCATGGAAGAGCGATTTCCCATATCTCTCTTTGTATCGTTGTCGTATAGTCATCAAGTCAATTTCACTCCTGGCAATGAGAATCCTTATGACTGTTTTATTGTGGAACCCAAAGTCCTAAAAAACAGAAGAATACATGAAAAAAACTAGGCGAGCATCTATTGCTCCATTGCCCATCTGTGTATGGTTATTTGAGTTCTTTGTGATAGACAATTAATTAGGCCATCCAGGAAGGTACTTAAGGTTTTAAATGCCTAGGTGTTCAGAGGCTTTATTCTACAGTTCTTATGTGCCTGAATAATGGAATTCACATCAGTGAGTAGGTATTCTCTATATGTGAGTGTTTTAACTGTACAATGAAGATATAAAAGGAAGTTAGAAACTTTTTCCAGTAGCTGTAGATAACCTGTTGTACAAGTAGCTGTTGTGACATTATGGAGTGCATTGAAACTGTATTGAAGTCAATAATCTGTTTCACAATCTGTTTCCCCCTTGTGAATTCAGTGAGATTTTCTGAATCTATGACTGGATGCACGTAACTTGTATTTTGCTGTTCTTTTTAAGGGTTTCTGAACAAATATTTGTATTGTAACAGTGTGGTGCATGAAGGCATCCAGTGGTGCTTAAAGACATCAAAACAGCTTTGAGGTCCTGATGACCTGCTGAGGTTGTGTAAAGCCAAACTGGTAATTCTGTGATCTATTCCTTCGTATTGAAATCTCTTTACCCAGAAGGCAAATAGTAAGTGATAATAATAAAGCTGTTTATGGAGAATTTGATGACCCTTAGATGGCTGGATTGAAACCTGTTCCGTAAACCACTGTGGACTGTGATTTCAGACAGGAGAATCCAGTGTGAATTCGGTTGTATTGCAGTGCATGTGCAGAAAGCTTTTGTTGCAGTGTGGGCATGGCCTGGCTGCCAGAGTAGGCACAGTGAAAATCTTGTGTTTGTTCCAGGAGTTGAGCGTTGGCTAAAACAGTTTGTGAAAACAGGGAGAGATGAATTAAAACAGGATGCGGATGTTTATTCTTAATCCTTCAGAACTTTTTCTACTTCCTTCAGTGCTTCACCCGCATTTTCTGTAATTGGTTTCCACAGGACCTTTGAGAAACGTCACTTTTCCTGTAGCTGGTTCTTTTGGCAAGTTTTTTTCATGTCATATGCCAGTAGCCTCTGGGCAATTCAATTTGTGCCTCTTGCCAGTACGTATGGGATTTTCCTTTCCTTTTTCTGCTGCCACTTGTTGCAGGTTTAGTTAAAACAGGTGGCAGTAGTGCTGCAAGAGGACGCTGGGGCTCTGCTGAAGTGTTGCTGAATGGTTTTGCTCTGTGCTTTGGCCTTGAATCTAATCCTTTGCCTTCCCTGTTCTAAAATGATTCTTACTATTTTACCCATGGCGATCTTCTGTAGGTAACATTTAGAAGATTATACTTTAAAGTTTATACGTAAGAGATTGAACTTGTTTTTTTTATGTAAGATAAAATCTTATTTTCACTAATGAATGAAAAACAAAGGAAATGTCTTCACTTGCTGCTTGTAGGAATAGGTTGTAGGTGTTTCTTTGCATTTACCTCCATTCTTCTTGGCATTCACACGATTTAATGTGATAGTTTTTATACGCCAAGAGAACAGAACCTGCAAATGTTCATAGAGCCACACAAGAATGTATGACTATTGGTTTTCAAGTCGCACTAATTTATAATGAGGAAGTATTACTTTTCAGGAAGGGTGGTCAGGCACTGGAACGGATGCCCAGGGAGGTGGTGGAGTCACCGACCCTGGGGGTGTTCAAGGAAAGGCTGGATGTTGTATTGAGGGACATGGTTTAGTGGGAGCTATTGGGAATAGGTGAACGGTTGGACTGGATGAGCTTTTAGGTCTTTTCCAACCTTGGTGATTCTATGATTCTATGATAATGCAATTTGTAATATTTATTAAATTGTGAGGGGGGAAATAATGCGTGGTACAAAAAGTGCACATTTAGTTCTGAACTGCAGGTGGAACTGCGATCCAAAGAAAATAAGAGCTGTTAAAAAAAAAAAAAAGGATTACCAAACAGCTCTCTGAAGGAATCTAAATGTTTGAATTACTGGTGTTAAATTCAGTTATGTTCCACTATGTGGGTACTACTGCTTGGAAATGTATTCAGGTGCCAAAAGTGTTAAAGCACGCAGTCCCTCCTCAAGGATTGAACAGATTGGTTTGCAACTATTTGTTTAAGTGTAAGGGAGCAAACAGAAATAGGGAGCTATTTTTTATGTTCCGTGGAGAAGAGCGGCTACTTACGTGAATGGCATGATGGAGTCTGTAAGCGAAGTAGGAAGGCTTGTCACGGACACAGAGAACTAGGAAAGAGATGTTACTACAGGTAAATAGGAAAATGTGCTGAAATCACTCTTGCTAGCTTTTGTAGTGCTATCCACAGCTCAGCTCAAAATTCAGGTCCCAGTCTATGGCTGTATGCATCGGTTATAAAAATCTGGTACTTATTTGAGATAAGCACTCGTTACATAGAAGGGCTTACTAAAAATCAGTGCATGCTCTCTTGTGACACGTGTAGAAATGTTATTATTCTGTAAATGAGCACATGAAGCTTAGAACTTGTTTGCATATCAGTTAAGTCCTGAAAAATTTACTAATTCAAGGCTGGTTGTGGCTCTGGGCAGCCTGGTCTGCTGGTTGGTGACACTTGAATGTAGCAGGGGGGTTGAAACTAGATGCACTGTGGTACTTTTTCACCCAGGCCTTTCTGTGATTCTTTGACTGCTTTAAGGTGTGTGGAGTCAGATGCTGATGCATCCATCATTGATGACGCTGAGTTCCTTATCAAATAAACAAAGATAGTAGTACTGCTCAGTCACAATCTGGTGCTGCACACGTACATTTCTAGATTTACATGAGCATGGAACAAAAGTTATGTTCAGTTATCTTTCTCTAATGATTTCTGAACTTTGAATCAAACAACGTAGCAAAGTGGAGAAGAGTATCAGAAAAAGAAAGTTCTTTGTATGTCTGATACGTCATCTAGATATTAAGTGTAAAATGATGTGTACCTATTGCAACCAGTAATTCTTGAAAATATCCATCGTAGCAGTCATTGATGGCATCTACTAGGTCTTGCCCAGAGATACTTTGGAACTCCTGGAAAACTTGGAGGAAGAGAAATCTCACTTGATTCCAGTTCATTAACAGTGATCAACTTTCCTCTCCCTCCCCACCCTCCTGACGATAACCCTTTGTTCCCAGTGTTTCCTTAAGTCCATATCATGCAACTAAGGCAATCTAAATGAGTAGTCTGAAACCTGGCTTCCAGGACATTCTCTTTCTAGGTTCTCTAGTATGCAATTTAAAATAAATGCATAGCAAAGTGTGTTTTTCACAGATAATAATAATTAACAGATACTCCTGCAGTTTCTGTTTTTAGAACTTGTAAGAATTGCAGGTCAGTAAGACACGTCCCATGCTTCGCTTGGCTGAAGCTGGCCAAATGGTCATAGATCATGAGAAGCCATCAACAATATGCCTAACGTGTCTCTGTGCAGACATGGGCATTGTCTGGGCTTACGCACACACCAGTACAGTGCATGCTTACTTAAGCCTTAGGAAAGCAGGAGATTTTTGGTGACTGCAAATGACAAAACTTACAGTGAACTACATGACAGGCAGAACCCTCAAAGTCTTGTGCAGTGGGGGAATAGTAGCATGGCCAGGTGTTACGTTAGTTCATCCCATGATCACCATCCTTACAGAAGTCGTGACAGAATTACTAGGATAATTCATGACACCACAGTAGTTTTGAGCTATTGTTAGAAGTTGGCAGAAGTACAACTGCCTGCGCGATGGTAAACTTGTCACCAAGCAGACTTTTCCACAGCAGAACAAAACACATCGCAAGCATGTCATCAAGCAGATGAGTTTCATAACTGTAGTGGAAGATTTCCTTTTTTTTTTTTTTTTTTTTTTTTTTTCTCCTTTTTTCCTTTTTTCCAATCTGTAATTATGCCTGATGATGTAGTTTTAAATAAAAGCATCCCGTTATGTTTCTGTGTGTCTGTGCTCTTTAAGAGAGAGCAGATGTGGACTCTGGAAGTCTCCCCCTTCAAAACATGTTTGAAACTTGCAGTCATCAGGCAGAGGTCAATTTAGCATTACTTCCAAAATCCCATTAATATCAGTGAGATTCTGGGAGCTCCAAGTGTTCACAGTTAGGGTTCAGGCTCATATTCTGCTGCTCACTGAGCTTGATATATAAACCGTGGCCTTATTAGCAAGTCAGATGTTTCCTTTACGCTGTATGGTCAAAGAGCTGAAGCACTGGGTTACCCATCCACAACTGCTGGTAACTCCTGTTGCACAGGATCATTTGCAGCATGTTTTTGTGTTCGCCTGTTCTCTGCTGACAGGCTTCCCATAGAATCTATTACACCAGGAAAAGAAAAAAAAATGCATAAGATTTTAAATAATTCTGAATCACTTTTCAACATCAACATTTGCTCTTTTTTTTAATGTGAGACATGCCTACATCTGCCTGTTTTTACCATTGCATCCTGAGCAGCTGTAGCAGGATCTGCATATCCTTCCATTCTTGTTCCCTGGGGGGGGGAAGAAAAACTAAGTTATGTTTCACTTCTTGAGATATATCTAAGAAAAACACTGAATCAATATCATAGCTGAATTAGTAACTGTGGAAAATATCCTCAAATTTCAATTTACAGCTTCATGTCATCTGAACAAAGGAAACTGAAATAGCCTGCTGTGTTACGAGAGGAAAAAATCGTGGAAGTGGATAAACTTGCCTCATAAACCCATTCCATTGTTAGTCTGATGTTAAGTGATGTTTTAGCACCTCCCGGTGCTGTAAGTGCTCTATTGTTTACTGTATGAGAGAAAAGCAAGCAGAAGGGTAGCATTTACCATTGACTGCTTGTTTCCTATCAGTGTGTGTATTGCCAGGAGAATCTTTTCTCCATCACTGTCTACAATTAAGGTCAAACAGTTTTTAGACTTAGACAACTTTGCCAGATAAGCCAAAGAAGACTGCTTTGGACATTGCCATGTATTTAGTAGCTTTTCAGTTACGTCAATCAAGATGATGTGTTTCAGTAAGCACACTATGATCTGAATTACATAGCTGTTAGAAAAAGAAAAAAGCACACACTTTCAGGAATTACTTTTTTGACCTTAATTGTCTTCTAAGGACACGAATCAGCCCTGATTGCCAACTCTTCAGTAGTCTCAAGCTATATGCTGCCATTGCCTTAATGATACGTGTTTGAAGCAACTTACTTGAGAATTTACAATTGCTTTTCTGTGCATGTGATTGTGAGGATTGAAATTATGCATCGTCTGTCAACTCTTGGAATGACTGCTTTGTAGTTCTTTATTGTTAAAAGTGTTCAGTTGCATTGTAATTGAACTGTAAGAATTTCACTTAGCTAAGAGCGGAATTCCTACTAAGAAGATAAATTACCTGAAGGAAATCATGCTGGGGTGACCACGTGAAGTGACGTGGGTGCAGGGGAAAAAGACAAGTGGGCAGCAAGATGCATGGTGCTCCATGTAAGATAAGTGCCCACTGCCTCCAGTACTGATTGACAGAGACTCCTGTTGGCACAGTTAGCTGGTGAATCCCATGCCACACTTGATCGTTTTTTAAATACTAGAAAATGATTCTATTTCAGTTTGTACACAGCAAACAGTATAAAAATCTTTTCTTTATCATACGAGAACATTGACTAACTTGAAGTTGTAACTTGTAAAATTTACGTAGGGATTACTATTTCAGAATCATTTCCATCCAGAGGATTTTGCTGGTATGTAGTCATTGGTAGCAGATTTCTGTAGATTCTCAATTGCCTTGGTGTTCATATCAAAACCACAGTTATTGTGCTAAAGCAATTGAACAGTTGGTTACCTGTGTGTGAAACACAGTGGCTGCTGTTTGTGGTCATGTGTGCCTCATCAGCCCAGAGATTTACTAGAAATCAAAGCAGTGTGTTTCCAAAAAAACCCTAACAACTTAAGGATACATTGGCAATGTTGCTTTAGAATAATTTTCTGTGAGTTACGTAGCGTTGGAACTGTTGAAATATCACTGACTTTTAATATAGACTCTGTCCAGACAGGGATGATTCAGTTAGCAGTCTTCAAAGATACACGGTATATGTTAGTAAAATTGCAATTTCCTACAACCATTCTTTATCAAATAGCAGTTAGACTTCGTTAGCTGAGAAGTGGCTGATATCAGGTGTCTGTACGTGTATAGAAAATAAGGAGCAATGAGTTAGCCTGGTGTTGTTTATTTTAAAGTTATTTTCTTTATATGTAAAAATTTCTCATGGGTTTGTTAAAGGGAAGAAGTTGCCTAGATTTTAGCTCCTGAATTTGTAAGCATGTAGGAATTTTCATTATTAGGGGAAAAACCCTCCAATATTAGTTAAAATATTTCCCATTTCTAGTTTCTACCTTTGAAACGTTTACTCCTAATGTCTCTGCTGCAGTGAGACCTAATGTCTTTTCAGATCTCAGGAACGCTTTCCCCAAACATGCAAACATACATAAAAATGTAAATGCAATTTGTGTTGCTGCCATTAGTTTTGTCATCATCTGTTACTCTGGTTTGCAATGCATTTTAAAGGTAATGAGAGCAGGAACTTGTGTTCTCAGGAAGATAACTACTGCGGTTTGGTAATACTGAGTCAAAGCTGCTGTGTGATTGTAGTTCTTTCGGCTGCCTTCTTGTGTACTGAGATTTTAGCATAAGGATCAGTGCAAATAACTTAATGCTTAAAACAAGGAACTGCCTGATGATAGACGTGTGGCGATGTCTGCATTTTTCATGTGCAGGCTGGATGTTGAGCTGTCAATTTTAAAAACAGGGGAAACAGCTTTAAAAACAAAGTCTAATTTGTACTTGACTGCAGACTCCTTTAGAAATGAAGCTGGTTGAGTCAGCACTTGTGTATCCTGGGCCTTTCTAATAAAATGTTGATTTTTGCCTCCATCTGAAAAATGAAGTTAAAGTAGAAGGAAAATTCCAGCTCTCTTCCTCCTCTACTCTTTCCACTCTCTTGTTCAGAAGTGTACTCGTGTTGAGCTGACTTTAGCTGCAGTTACTTCACGTTTTAAGACTTCTTCAGTTATATCAGAAGTCTCTCTAAATTTTTTTATATGCATGTCATATTATTTATTGTATTTACAGTACCTGAGCGAGGTTCATCAGAGTATCTCTGAAGTGACCAGAAGTCTCAGAATCAATATCTTGCTGAAGATCACTGTTGTATTCTGGATTGAAACAAAAATGTGTCACCTAAATACATAAAAAACAAACATGCTCTGAATGTTGCTTATGAAAATAAGCAAACAAAGGGTAAATAGGGTGCAAATACACACTCATTTTCTAAAGGTATTAAAAATCATTCCGCAGGAGCTCATGCAGGTTCTGCAAGGACCTCACCACAGAGGGATTCCTCCCTGCCAAGGCCTCAGCCACCTCAGCAGCTCGCCCGCCCGTCCTCCTGCCTGCGCCTGGCAGCCCTGCGCCTGCTGCAGCTGCGTGACTGGGGGATACTGAGAAGCTCCTGCTCAAGGGAGGTGAGCTGAGTATTCAGCCCGAGGAAGCACTTTGTGAGAAAAACAGTTGGGGCACTGGGAAAAATGTGTACCCAAGTTTATGAAAATCCCCAGATGTTGCTGCTGGCTATTTAGAACATACTAGGCAGCAATACATCTCCAATTACTTTGAGATACATTCAACTTGATTCATTCTGCTTCAGCTTTTTAAATATAATTATGAAGGGGGAGGAAGAGGGAGGGAACCGTGCGGAGAAATCACTTTTGTAATTTAGTTCCTTTGCTCGTGCTAATACATCCAGCCTAATGCACGTACTAGAGCTGCTGTTGTACACTGGTAAAATACATTACGTGTTAAGTAGGCTTCTTTCATCTGGAATATCTCCATATTTGACCTTGAGGCTAATATGTCAATTAGACACTGCTCTTCTGTGTTTACTCCCTGTGCAGGAGGAAGTAAATTTGAAGTCATTAGGAACCACAGCTTTTAGAAGACAGAACTGCTTTATTAGACGTAACAAAGGGCTTAACAGTTTCTTCTGGAGCAGTGTATGGTGTGCCTTTGCTTAGTGTGCCTGTTCAGAAAGAAATTGACTTCAAGTTAATAGTAGCAACTTACACAACAAATATGCTCCTACTTAGTTTGGATTTCAGAATATCTGTTAGTAAGTGGGGAAAGAAGCAAGACTGCTGTTGACAGAGACACAATGGGAAGAATTTTCCAGCTTGAATAAGAACTTAGGGGTTACTGAGAGAAATCAGACGCAAAGATTGAACATACGTGCCAGGAAGCGTTCAAGGCAGTCTGAAGTGGATAAGAAAACCAGTTCTGGGATGTGCCTTTCCACCTTTAGGGATTTGGCAGTTTAGGAATTTCCTAAGCAAGTATTAGTAAGGAATGATTATTTTTGATAACCAAGAGCAAAATTTTTCAAGTCCTTTTTGATTCAGTTGGAACCAATTTGTGCTTTTGGTTTTAATATTGCCATGCAGCAGTGGATTTCACCATTTAATTGCACGGTGTTTGAACAAAAACAAAACAAACATTTAAAAAAAAACTTCTTATATGTCAGTGTACTGTGAAACATCTTTCTAGCAGTTTATCAAACATTTGAATGGATTAAAAATCACTTCATGATATATTAAGTAATATAAAAATTATATTAATATATTATTATTAAATAATAAAAAATTATTTATTAATAAAAAATAAAATATTATTATTATTATTAAATATAAAAAATTAGTGTTTGAGTAGCTGTTAATTGGGCCAATACCTTCAGTGCATGCCAGAGCTCGTGGGCATCATAGGATGCAGGTGGGTACATTAGGCCAACCATGACTTCTTTGAAGTGATGAGAGAGATTGTCTTTCAGGTCTGCCATCAAATCCTTAACAAAAACACATGGGATTAATTCAGCAGTCACACTTTGTGAAAAGCAGCTTAAAAATATTAGCAGTTTTCTTTGTGAAGGAATGAAGATGAACTGAGATGGAGTTACTAAGATTGGGGAACATAAGTCTTTTAAAATAGAACCTACTCCTTTTAATAGTACTTGTGAGATGGCAGTAGACAGAGAAGCAAGTAAACTGTATAGATTTGTTCGTTTTTGGTTCATTGGAATACAGGAGGAAAATTTAGGGGTTCAAATGCAACTGCTCCTTAAGGGCTTGGAAATCTGAATACCACAGCACAGCATTTGCAGCTTCTCATGGCAGATTCCCTGTCTGAATCTGCAAGAGCTGAGCCCTCAGAAGTGAAATCCTCTAACTCACAGCAATTTGCTTCCTTTCTTCTGGGCTGTTCACCATGTAATTAATACAAAAAATCATTCTTAAAGAGTCATCCCAGTACGTAAAACTACCTATTCTGGATTACTGGAAGGCTGTGTGCTCCAGTTTATATGTATGAAATATTCAAAATGAGTTCCCTACTTTGAACAGATGTTGGATTAATAAAAGGGAAGCTTCCTCACTTGCCTGGGATTTGACTAACGGAAGAGAGTTTCCTTCCCACTCTCCCCTTTCCCAGCAGCATCCCTTGAAACATTGCAAATGCCAAAAGCCTGTTAGCTGTGTCTCATTAAGAGGATACTTTGCTGGTTCTTGAACAGTTCTGGGCAGCTATCAGATAGGCTCTGAGCGAAGTCTGCAACTGTAGAAATACCAGAAATGATTCCTGTGATACAAACTTCACTTATTGGAGAGGTTTTTTTCCAGCCTGTACTTTACCTTTGATGTATATCTTAATATAATTAAATCAGTTGCTAAACTGGGAATGAACAAGGACAAATACAGATTAAATATTGGATTTGTGAAGGAGAAACACACAGTATTCACTGTATGCATTCTTTTTAGTTGTTTTAGGTCTGTAGTTCTGTGAGCACTAGCTTTATAGGGATGTAGGTTAATTGGCGATGGCTGAAGGAGACAAATTAATTGATAATGTGTTTTAATAAGGGTTTAGGTATTTCTGTCATACTTTTAGTCTGGATTTAAAAAGAAAACCCAAGCAGATAATTAGTGAGCAAATTAATAGTTCTTCTGTGCTCAGAGAAAAATGGCAGACCTAACTCCATTTCTGACAGATGGTTGGCAGTTTCTTACTAGCACATCGTTAGTGATATCCTTGGTCATCTCTAGGTATGAAAGAAAGAAATTCAAAATGAAAAAATGACTTTTTTCCTGGGCTTTTGTTTCAATAGGCTTTTTTTGTTGTTGTTAAAATGCTAGGTGTAGTTAAAACATGTTAAAACATTTGAGAGAAAAGGTTAAAGGAACATTTTGTTAGAAAAACCAAGGAATGAAGTGGTGAAAAATTATTAGCAGCCTACTGGAAGTCTCTGCTCTGGTCTTTGTGCTGAAAAGGAGGAGCATAGTTTGAACTGGCTTTTTTTTAAGGAAAGACAGCAATGCCATCTGTTTTATTTTTTTAATGCATTATTCTTTTGTTCTCTTCTGTAAATATTTGGGTCAGTGAGTCTCTAACTATGTTTTCCAAAATATTAAACAAGTATTTGATGACCACTCCAAAACGGAGGAAGAAATCAGTCTTTCCAAAAATCCTTGCTGGACTGTACGTATGGAAGAGGAAACTTTGCACGTCCTTTTTTCTGCCTTGTTTTGTGGCAGACGCTCTGCTTGGTAAATGACATTTAGAAACCTTCAAATGCATGCATGGTTACATGAGCAAAGTTGCGTGCCAACCTTTTGGTGCCAGTCAGCAGTTTGCCAGGTTTCTAATTGTAGTGGTGACCTGAGAGAAAGGCTGACCAGCTGTACTGGAAGCAGAAGGGACAGAGGTAAGGAAAGAAAGCTGAGCTTGGTTCTGTCATACCCTGCCATACATGTCTCTGTATGCCTCAGCAATCATGAGCCGCTGTGCATTGCAGCGCTGTGTGAGGATGTCAATCAGCACGTCTTTTTCACAACCTGCAGGTAAACCAGACGCAGATTCTCAGTTGACAAATTGTTATTTATGTAGGCTTCTGATTTTCCTGTTTTATTCAAGAAAACAAACTAAATTTCTTGAAAAAAAAACAGACCAGCAAATTGATATTCTGCCAGTATTAACTGAATCAGTTGTATGTGCTTTGCATACATATCTTTCACTTGCTGGTGTACTATCAGCAATTAGTTAAATATTCTGTTATTATCAGATACATTGCTGTAGGGGAGCTGCTGTGTCACGGCCTGAACCCCTGATCACCTGAGGTGAGCCGTGAGTCAGCCAGAGGAGCACAGGTGAAGGCAATTCCTAGACCTATTTAAGAGCTGGCTACCAGGGGGGAAGGATCTCTTCTGGAAATTGTCTCTGCTGGAGTTTTGTGAGTGAGCCCAGGATAGGGGTAAGCCTTCTGTTTATTCTCTTGTGTTATCATAGTCTGCTTTGCCTAACTCTCTTGTTGATTTTGTGATGGTAACATCCTAATATTCTTTGATTATACACATCACTGTCTATCTCAAGTGAAATGGATTTGAAGCCATCCGTGGAACTGATCCCAGCTTTCATTTGTTGAGAACTAGGCACGATAAAAGGATTTGTGGCCGAGCCATATTCGTATGCCTTCCTGATATTGATTAAATTGTCATTTGAGGATTAGGGATCTCTTAAATGGGAATGACAAGGTACAGTCAAGCCATTTGTTGGACAAATGAAAGCTACGTGTTTTCAGAGAAACTATAGAAGTTAAATTATGAAGTTTTAAAGAATATTTTATTTTAAAAATCAGTTTCTGAATGCAATTATTATTACAATAACTGCTCAGGAAAAAGAAGATGATGATTAGCATGTTTTGAAAATTATTTTATTATTTTTGAATTTTTTCTATCCCAGAAGATGGCTCTTGGTTACTTCAGGTAGTTCAGTGTTTCAGTGTCATTCCAGCAGAAACATGTCTGCAAGCATAAATCAATTTATTTTATTACACTTAGAGGTAAGTTTGGGTACAAAGCATGGAGATCAGCTCGCATCTGACTAGAGAAAGATACTTTGCTGCTTCTACAAATCACTGTTCTGTATGCACATACAGATATAAGCTCTGTATTTTTCTAAGCTTAGGCTGATTTTGTCATATGACCTACGAGTGGTGGGCTCCATTTTGGCACAAATGTAATTGGATATTGGGTATGATCAAAATTTTTTTTTTTAGTAAGTTTGCAGATGAAATCTATGTCTGCTCATTATGCAGGAAGTTCAGTAGTTCTTCCTTGTAGTCCATCTAGCCGAAATTACAATGGCTTCTTGTGCTACACTGGCTTCACGTCAGTTTGATTCGTTGCCATCAAACTCACAAAATGCATGCGTTACTGTATCCCTGTGCCTAAGGCTTTCTTTTACTATTCAGAAGATAATTGTCACTGACTTTCTGTACAGTTTTCAGAATCACAGAATTGTAGGGGTTGGAAGGGACCTCCAGAGATCGAGTCCAACCCCAACCTCTGTTTTACTACAGAGATGGTATAAACTAAGGTGGATTCAAGAAATTTTTAAATGCCTAAGTAATTTTACTTGTTTTTTTTTATTTTATTTAATAATGCCACTGGTATTAATAGGGTAATGTGTGTATGGCAACTGTTGAGTCACAGCCTGAACCACTGATTGATTGCCTGAACGAAGCACTGAGTCTTCTGGAGATCCCTCCTCTGTGGAGCCCTTCCCGTGAACCCAGGTCTTTGGATGCAGGTGAGCATTCCTTCCCTGTTTGTTTCTTTTCCTATGTTTGCCATGATAACCTTTCTAGCTGTAACACCAACTGTAACAGTAAGTGACTGAACCTCTTCAAGAGAATGAATGTTGTGAGGAGAAAGTGGGGGTGTCAGTATTTGGGAAGACTTGAATTGCTGTAAGCTGAGCATCGTATTTTGCCAGCTCTCTTTGAGACTAGAACTTTGTTTTGTTCTTTGCCAGGCAGAGGTTAAAGTAAGGCTACTGCGTGTGTGTTTACAGCAGTAAATGGAGAGAATCATCCTTATATTGTCACATTAGCAGCATTGCATTAAAAGTGCTGGTTGAAGTCTGACAAAGTAAGTACAACTTCATTTGTAATGAATTTAAAGGTCCTTCATGTTGTTCTTAATAATACCCACTTAGTGGTGTTTTGATTGACGTAAAGACTGAAACCACTTTTCTGTTCAAGAAACTGATCAGGATGCTGGATTTGGTGCTGTACAGTCTTGTGAAAATCTTAGGACTTAAAAAAGAGTTCTGATACAGGTGACAGTCTTAATGTGAGGGAAGTGTTTCACAGGATAATTAAAAAGAAATTGTCCTTAGAACCTTCAGCAATACAAAGTGTGCAGCTGTAAACAAAAAAGGAACAGAAAGGCTTGTTTTGCTGAACATACTGTGATTTGTAAGCTGAAAGCAAAACTTAACTCCAGAGGGGAAGGTGATCAATGCTGTAAACACTTGTCCATTTGTTTTTATTTCTCGATGGCTGTTACTGTAAAAGACATAACAATATCTGCTTCTAACTGACGTTGGGGTTACAGCTCAAAATGAATCCAGTTTTGACCTTCACCGTAGTGACAAGTTTTTATTTTCCTCACGGAAAACATTTGCTATTATCAGTGTTGGTATACATTTCAGGTTAATTTTAATTAGTTCTGAACTCATGCAAATGCCTGACTTGCTTGGGTATCACCAGTGAATCTTACTGTGATACCTTGAAGAATCACCACCTATGTGTTGACGTTTGTATTATTGTGGGTATACATACATTTAGTTTGGGTTATATTGTAATAAATGGTGTTAGAATGTGCGATGGTACTTACTGATTCCCTGTAGGGCTCCTCCTAGGGACTGAGCATCCATAACAGGGTTGAAATTTGGAGCTGGAAGAATGGTTCCTTGTGTCTGCTAAAGGAGAAAGAAGCCTTTAATTGCAATGCTTTATATTTTTTAACTGCATATATGATTCAAGTGAGAATCAACAACCACATAAGATTAAAACTTTGGCTTTATGGGGAAAAGTATGTTAATTTACAGGGAAGAACTTGTAGCAAACCCTAGGAAGCCAGAGCGTATTTAAGCTAGGCTTGAACAAAGAAAATAGGTTATTAAGGTGTTTTGTTGTCATTAAAATGTAGTCACAGTTTTGTTTCTATTTCTCAAACCTTTCTGAAAATATTCTTCTGTCTTTTGAGGTTATTTTTTGTTATCCCTGTCAGTCTTGAGTTTCTCTTGATATTTCTAATTTGAAAGGACTGGTGAGAAAATAATGAAGTATGTAGGTTGCTTACCAAGCCAGTAATTTTAAAAGAAATTATGTTGGGATGGAGTGTGGGCTGTCTTTCTGACATGCAATGTGGAAGTCAACATTATTTCTCTGGTTGCTTTTTATCTGATTAAGTTATTCTCAGTTCGTTCCCAGTGATGCTTTGTTTCATACAGTGTTTCATGTTTTGCCAAAGCAGTGAATACAAAATAGAATTGATTTCCTTGTTTTGATAGGATCACAGATGTGCACAGGTGAAAATAACTCAGGTTCATCTGCTCTGAGCTCTGTACTCAGTTAACCCCTTCAGCTCTTCTGAGGATTACACCTGCCTTTTCAGGCTCACCCTGCGTAACAGTTGTCTTTTGTAATGATTTCTGTTCTTAGTAAATACATTTGATTAAACTGAACTTGATGACTTGAAATGTTCAATAAAAAAATGGGGTAATGAAAATGGATTCATACAAACACCTCTTAGAATTAGGAGGTAAACTGATGATATGAATTACTGTATGGGAACTGCTGAGTTAAGGCCTGAACCTCTGATTGATCACCTGAGGCGAGCCATGAGTCAGCCAGAGCAGCACAGGTGAAGGCAATTCCTAGACCTATTTAAGAGCTGGCTACCAGTGGGGAAGGATCTCTTCTGGAGATCTGCTCTGCTGGTGTTTTGTGGGTGAGCCCAGGACAGAGGTTAGCCTCCTATTCATTCTTTTTTGTTATCATAGTCTGCTTTGCCTGACTCTCTTGTTTATTTTGTGATTATAGCATCCTAATATTCTTTGTTTATACAATTACTGTCTTTATTTTCTTGTTTTATGTTCACTTGAAACGTTTTGTCTATGTTGCCTTCATCAGTAATGACATACACATGCTGCTGTAGTGTGTGATCACTAATGATGTGCTTCCTTGGCTTACAGTTCTACTCAAGGATTTAAAAAGCAACGAGCAAGAAGTGGGTATGTTTGAAGAGAAGGAAAACATAATTTCTTGATACCAAGCAGGTAACTGTATGGGCAAACAAATTATTGGTGGCTTAGTGACGGAAAGAATGTAGCATCAGAAATTTGAGGTTTTGAAGGAGTTACTTTGTGTAAGAAAGGAAATATTTGCTGATAGACGAGCATCTTTCTGCAGTTCGTTCTTCATTTTAAATACTATCTCCTACATTTGCAACCAAGCTTAACATTGAGTGTCATTATACTTGTTAAAAACAATCAGGGAATATATGATAAGGAGAGCAACTCTGGCTTTAGAGACGAGACCATGTCAGTTTATATAAGGTGATACATCACATTGTACCTAAAATGAATTTCAGATTTATACTGTAGCTATTTTCCATGCTCTCTTCCCCCTTCAGTCCATGTATCCTGGGTCTCACTGCTCACATAACACATCTGTTGGTTGAGATTGGCTTCAGAAATGATGTTTAACCTCATGGCTTTCTGTTTTTTACAGTACGTGTGCTCTTCAAATGTTGTTCACCAGAAATCCCCTGGACACGTGCTATTTGCAGGAGTTCGAGTGCTCTTTGACCACGTGGGACATGAGGTGCAAGTTGAGGTAGTTATTTTCACTTTTCCTTTGCTAGCATGTCAAGTAATGCTGAGAGTCCAAGTTAGTTCTCCCAGGAGACAGGAATCTGTGAACTCTGGCTGATATCTAATGTAACTTGACAAGCCACCCTGAAAGTTACTGATGAGCAAAATCACTGTAGAAAGAATTGCTAGAAGACACTGTTAGAATGCAGAATCAAGAAATGTATGTTGATATATGCTCTGAGTAAGAAACATAGAATTTAGCTTTCTGCTTATCATTCATGCTTCTCAGAGTGTCTGAGCCACTAGAATAGCTCATCAATCTTGAGAAGGAGGAAATTAGTCCAAAACCAGACTGTTACCAAATATTATGCTAGAACTGCCAAAAGAGAATGGTTTTCTTTAAATGAGGATAATAATCAAGAATGATAGGTTGTGAATGGAATTTGAGTAGCAGATACAAGATTCAGAGGCTTTTGGCTTGGAGGATAAACCTGTGGTAGGAAGGATGAGCTTATCTGACATCCTGTTAAAGCACTCTGTGACCATGTCACTGTACCTGCTGGTCAGAAGGATGGCAGGAGGAGAGAAAATCTAGCAGGTGTATGTATTTATCCAAATCTAATTTAAAATAGCAGTGCAGGCTCTTCATTTTGGCAACAGCTATTGGCAGGTTCAATATCCAGAAAGACTGGTTATCTCAGAGTATTTCTTTCATAAACTCAGGTTTGTAGTGTTAAAGCAAACGATCTTTTCGGCGTTTGTGATGACAAATAAATGAGTGCTTTAACAGTGGACTCCCGTGTAGTTCTTGGAACTACATTTTTGAATTTGTATCTCCATGAAACCATCAAAATCAGAAAAGGCATCATATGAATATTTGCAAAATTATAGTAGAGGAATCGATGATAACAACAGTACGTTCAGATACACAGATTTTAAGGCTGTTAAGGTTTTTACTCCCACAACACAGCTCTTGTAGTAAGTCTTTCAGTCTTTGAGGAATTGTTTGCTTCCATTATCTATGGTTAGAGAATTTCTACTGCCCTGTTTTGAAGTAGGGCGTTTGTAAGGTTGTTTTAAGTCTAAGTTTATGAATGGACTCAATTCTCTTAAGGTTCAGCTGAGCTGCTGCTTCTTGTGAGCATTCACCACCAGTGTTTGAGGTTTACCTTTAGCAGATGAAATGCAATCTAGTGAACACCTGTGTCCTACCAAGGATTTGGTTTAAGTCATGATGCTTTTAAGTAGAATCTAATTAAATACGAAGGTTCCTCTTGAGATGAAGCACCTACCTGTTACTCACTTCTAAAGAAATGAAAATTGAATTAGCGTTGTTCTGTATTGTACAGGTTGTAATTAGCACCTAAGATAATTGTGCCAGTGTTAGTCCTGATGAGGATTTTCAGTGGACATCATCTGTGTATTTTCAGGGTTGTTTCCCACCCGATTCAGTGCTCTGCCCATGTTCTCCCAAGTAAAATTGAGGTTTTACAGTTCATACACCATCAGAATCCTCAGAGGGAATTCCTGCGTTTTGATTTCTTGCTGTTGGTGTAAGCTGCAGTTATTGTTGCAATGTACCTTCTGGAAAGTGTTCTGCTATTTTGTGTTGTATATGCAGTGTGACCCTTAAGAAAATTGATTCCAGCACAGCCTGTGTCAGTTTCATGGAAGCAATCGCAAGGTAATTTCAGGTTTTTGCTGAGTTTGTGGAGTCGCCCCTAGTTCATCTCCTTCAGGAGATTATTAAACTTACTAAACTTTATTTCACCTGTTTTCATGTGAGTGGGTCACAACCAAACCCTATAGAAAATTGGTGATTTTGAGTCTGAACTCAGCATGGTCATGCAGTAACAGCTCACAGGTTGCTGTGTGCTGTAACCAATTCTTTTCTGCTCTGTACCGAAGAATCCCAGTGAGCTGTGTGTCATTGACTGTGCAACGCAATCCAAGGTAATTTACTGGCAGTGGAGACCAAGATTGGTCTTTGAAAGGTACAGATGTGTCAGTGCCTCTCTGAAGTCAATCCTGTGCAGGGTGTCTGTACCCTTGTCAAAGAGGGCAGAACCTTAATGCTGTACTTCAGAGGCAATAGTGGTGGTCCTGCTGCGGTGACAAGACACTACAGAGCAAGTGAAAAGGAGAAAAACCTGCTTCAAAAGCAACATGAAAATCCAAGGGGTTGATTTTCCTGAGCAAGTGACTCTACTCGTGTCCTTTGGCACAGTGTCGTGTGGAGGGTGAAAGCATGGAAGAGATGGTGTTGTTGACTGAGTTTGATTGCTGCAATCTGTAGTGAGACAGAAGCCAGAGGGCTGTGGCAGGCATTTTGCTCAGTGAAATTTTGTTGCAGTCTCCTAGTAGTTCAAAAGTGCACGTGGTTACAGTCGTAGATGGCTTGATGTTCATAAACACAGTCAGGAAATAAATGAAAACAAAGACTTCTTTGGCAAAGCTGCCAGTCTGATTGCATAGCTTAGGGCTCTAGGGTACGAATCTGTGCTTCATAGGTAAGTTATTAGAGGGGGTTTGTTTGTCCAGCCATGCAGAGGTAATGTATGTGTAACAGCGAGGATCAGCACTGTGTGTTCAGAAAGGGCAGGGCAGTGGAGGCATTTGTTTACTGGATGAAATAACAGCAGACTGAATGTTGAACAGAGTGCAGGTAACTGCAGAGGAATTGTTTGCTTCCATTATCTATGGTTAGAGAATTTCTACTGCCCTGTTTTGAAGTAGGGCGTTTATAAGGTTGTGTTAACACCTGATCATGGTTATCATACTGTTGTTTCACTTCATACGTTTTTATTGGTCAGCTGTGATTGACCAATAAATCCATATAATTGAGGAAAGCTCTAAGGAGATGAGTAAGAGGGATATGCTTATGAAGCTCAGTGTTGTAGCTATACATTATAGATAGTGGTAATGTAAGTCACAGGGTTGTGGAACTATAGGGACACAGGGTTGTGTTCTTGTAAGTATATTGTTCTTGTAAGTTGTAAGTATAACTTTTTGTTATTTTCTATATTTTGTGTAGTTAAATCATAAATCCAGTGAGATTCACTTTTGATCAGGTATGTTTTATTGAACGTTAATGTTGTTCTCCACTTGTGGAGTGTCTGAAAAAAACGTGCTTGGAAGCCTTTGATCTCTGACAACTTAATTTATACACTGTATTTCTTTATTTCCGTGACTCCTGAGAAGCAGAGAAAAATTAACAGTGTGATCTCATATTTTTTTTTCTGTTCACCTTAAAATGGTCACTACAGATTACTGAGTTATTCCTATTGTATAGCAAAAGAAGCTGAGGACAGTGCCTTAGAATGGGATACAGACACTGTGGAGCAATAAGAGGCAATACAGAAAGAAAATTTGATCACCCCTTCCCACAACAGGCGACTGACTGCTCAACAGAAGTGCAGTGCCTATCCAGATAGATACTGCTGCCTTGGCTGAGTGAGGAGAGGTGCAGCCAGGATCCGCTCCTTCTGCTCACTCAAGTGCTCTGCATTGCAAACCAAGCCTTAGTGCTTTCTCTGAACCTGAGTTGAATATATGAGTGTGTCCTGTGGCTGCCAAATGAAAGTATTTCAGAGGTTCACAGATGTGAGGGGAAAAAAAATACTAATTGTCATAGGTGCCAAAATGGATGAGATCGGCGAGAGGGCAAAATATGGGACAAAAATGAAAGACCTAAGATTGATGCTCCCATTATCTATCATGGATTTCATGCTTAAATGAGAATTATATTGCTATTTATTGTGAGGAGAAATTGTATTGCGTGTCAGAGCTGCAGCAGTGACTTTGTGGTTTTGTCAGTGCCGTCCAAAGAGAAGCCAGAAGTGCTTTATTTTTCTTCACTGAGTTTGGTTCCTTTAAATACAGTGTTCTTAGACTTACAGAAGTAAAGCAGAGCAGTGAATTCTGAAGTACCAGAAGTGTTCTTGTAGGTTAAGAAGAGCTGGAATGTGTTTTTGGGTCATTTAATATTCTTTGTACGAGGACAAGGATGTAGTCTATCCAGGTCCTTTCCAAGTTAGCTACTGGCTAAGGAGGAGACGCTTTGTTCTGGCTGAATCCTAGCTTCATACTATATGACTAAGGGTAAGCCAATGACTTAAATGGCATTGGAGTTGTACCTGCCCTTTGTTTTTAATCAGAAGATTAAATTGGTTCTTGCTTCCACTGAGCAGTGTTCTCATAGATCTCAGAAAGGATTGTCGTTCAGCTGCCAGGTATTACAGAAATTCACGAGTTTGGTGTTACTGATAAGGACGTGTAGATGGATGGTTATAAGATGGCCACGTTTTCTGAAGAAGGTAGGGGGAAGATATCTGGTACAGTTCACTGAAATAATGTGGGAAAACTGTGCAGTGGAAAACATTGGTTTAATTTTGATATCTGTGTTCTAACATCCCACATAATAATATTTTATTTCTTTCTAAGAAAGAAATCTGGGAGATGTCACATCCATGAATCTGGAAGAAATCATATCCACGCTCCTAATAGTAAAGCAAACAAATCTCCAGGGGTGGTTCTGTGGTTTTAACTTCAAGGATTGTAACCTTTTTGACTTCAGTATGTTGTTGTATCTTCCTGTGGCCCTGTTGGACACTCAGTAAATCTATGTGCTCACGTATGTGCATTTTCCTTTTGAGAGTAACTGATTCCAAAGCAGCTGTGCTGTCAGTTCAGGTTCTGCAGTACTGGCAGAATTAAATCAAAATGGAGAGCAGACTGAAAAGGAACTTTAAGATATTTATTAAGGCTGAAAAATCATACTTGAAATCTAGCTTCCTTCTGTAGAAGGAAGTTACAACTTTGCCTGACCAAAGCCATAAGAGGTTCAACGAAAGTATCCATTAAAACTGAGGCTGTTTTTATCAATGGTATGATAAGTAAAGTTCAGGCAGTTCCATCTTGTGATGGAAAAAGCAATCTCAACTATGAACAGCCTTGTAATAATATTTATTCATTAGGTCATTCTGCTGATAGCAAACAATCAAAGTCAGATTCCTCAGTCTGAATGTTTCCCGTGGGAAATATGTACTAAAATAAAATGCTTACTTTAATAGCTAACTACCTGCTATGTTATAGCTATACTTCTGCACCTATGTCCTTTGTGTGCACCTTTGTTATTTAAAAAACTGTTCATAAATAGCTTTGTTTTTTTTCTAAGAGTTATTGTATGCATTACACGTTTTTGGAATTATGGAACAATGTATGAATTGGGAGAGATGCATTTAAATGTAGAGACCTCAGTCTTTCTGCTGAGCATCCTGTCTTTACCTGTATTTGTATTTTAGAGAGGATGCAAATGTCTTTTCTAGTTTCTGGTAGTTGGAACTCTTTGGTCTCTGGTAGTTGGTACTGGGGGAAGGGAGTGTTTCCTGTATGTGATCTTTGATAATGAAGTTGCATAGAGCTGCTGAATCAGTCAGAATTGCTGCTGTGTGTTATCTGCATCTCCTTAGTATAGGTTGACTCCATCCTGTCCAGTATTCCACATACAGTGTATGCAGATATATTTACAACATAAAGAGTAAGATAATCTTATAAAATCAACTATATTTTAAATACCACTAATTCCTTTTTTATGTTTCTTGCATTTCCAAATCAATGGCACATGAACATATTGGAAGTCTTTGAAAAATATGTGAAGTGCACTATTTAGACTTAGACTCAATTAAGGTCATGCTTAATGAGCATAGATAAGAAACGAATGGACTCAGCCTCTCACTGCATCCTGTGCAGATCCTGCGTTTTCTGCTTGTGATTTGCCCAAGCTCTTAGAAGAGCACTTTTCTGTTGCTTTGTTGCTGAATCTCAGGTGTTGTTCTGTAACTAACTTCATTTTGAAGAGCAAGCAAGCATCAGGGGAGGGTGCTTGCTTGGACTCCATGCTACAACTCCCTGTTCTTTCTCCCCAGCTGCAGTCTGCTGTACTGGTTGGGAACCTCTGAGCTAGTTCATACTAATCCCCTTTAGTTTTTCTCCCCTCCCAGCTCTCAACATGTAGGGGAAGTGGGAATTAAGAGTAAGAACTTGCTTATCCTGAGAACCCACTGAAAAAAATATGTATTTTTTTATTAAGAGAAAATATGTAGTTAGATTTTCTCAGTTTTATGGGATGGAGTTACATCACATTGTCTACATTTGAATAACACTTTTTTTTTTTCCTCTCTGAAATTGAGGGGAAAAGTATTTGGAACCAGGTGAAATAGGCCTGGTATCCTCATTATTTATTTTGGGGTTTTTTGGTGGAGTTTGAAGGACAATGCTAGGAACTTAGGTTCTGTGTCTGCTTAAGTCAGTGTTGTGAGCTGAAGTAAAGCAGCGTATGATGGTATCAAGGGAAGTCTAAAGCAGCTGGGATAGTCATCCCACACAGTTACAAATTAAAATACAATCTGTCAGATTTTCTGATAGTTCTACCAGACTCTTGCAGTGTTTTTATCTTGTATGGTTTACTAATTTTAATGAAATAAACAAGTTAAAACTCATCCTGTAAGTTATCATTTACTACCTTTAACACCAAGCAGCACGTAATTTGAAGGTGGGTTGTCAGTCCTTTAAACACAATTGATCTTGATAAATCAGTAGAGGAAATGAAACTCTAGCTGAAGAGCATCTACTGCATTATTCAGGTAGAGTAATTCTACTTGTCTTGCTTGAATTGTAAATAACAGCCTGTTTCTGACAGAAAGAGAGAGTGGAAAAGAAGGAAATCCCTTTTTGGTTATTAACTGGCTTAATTAACAGTGGAAGATCTCAAATAGTGGAAGACCAAACGCATCAGTAAAACCCGTTCAGTATCTAGTTCTATTGAAAGACAAATATATTCAATACGGTTTCATAGGAAGAAATATTTTACTGGTGAGATTGGAATAATTAAGGCAATTACGCTTTCAAATAAAATAAGGATGAAAATTGTCTGTTCTTTAGAAAATATTGCATTGATCAGTAATGTATTTAGAATGCATATGCAAAAAGCATTTGAGATGACTTTGATTTGACTCATTATTCCTATTAATTATTAATGGAAGAACATGAAGTGATCAGAATCGCAGGTACAGTTGCAGTTAACATAATTATCAGTATCCCAGGTGCAAAAAAACAATTTTATGCTTGGCTGTCAGAAAATAATAACTAATGGTAGCTTTCAAAATGAGGCATTAAAACTGCAGTATGAACTTTCTTGAAGAGATCAAATGAAACTATTTAATGTATTACTGTGATTAATTAGTAGTTTTTCCTGTGCTTTTATCTCTTTCACAGGAATTGCTTGTTAGCTTTTAAATATTTTTCATGTTGTGAACCAAACTAAATGCTTACGAGTGCTGAAGTAAAGCTACTTCATGCAGTTATACAGACTGAGAATTGAGACCCACCGAAAAATACTGCTGGTTTTATATGCCTGCATTGATCTCATTGGAACAACTCATTTCATAGAATTTGGCTGCAGTGTGTCCTTTTGTGCCAGCATCTTAGTGCAAATATGCGAGACCCACACATAGCGACTCACAGTCAGGTAACGTGAACTGGTAATTCTGTTTACTCTTAATTTCAGACACATTATGAATACTGTCAGTAACGCCAGAATTGCACAGAGCACAAATAAATTAACTTAGAGAATAATCTGTATTGGTGAAGGAAAATGAGTTCAAACATGTCAGCAAGTCAGAAGCAATAAAACTGTAGGAAAACTTATACTCACGTAAGCTCCACAATACATTGTGATGCAAGCCTTCAAGTTCTGTTGAGATGAAAATAGTAACTTTCCTAAAATAAAGCTAATGGTCTAGTAAACCAAATTATTACAGTTAACTCTTAGTGCATTTTAGAGAAATCATCCGATGCAACTGCTGCCAAGTTCTTTTGGCTCCAAGGTGACCATGGAGCAGGAGCAGTGCTTGGTACTGCGTGTCCTCAGGTTTTATGGGTTCCTTGTGTACTTAGTCATTAATCTGATGTGAATAAATATGATTGTACCGTGAGTAAATAGTCATTAGCAACACCCTCTGCTCTGCTGTGTTGATTTTAAAAATCAGAATTCAGCTAGACACAGAATGAAATGTTCTCCTACAGCAAGTGCTTGTTGTTAATTATTTACATTTCAGATGGGATCTGGTTTAGCTGTTGTCTCTTTTCTTCTTCTACACAGTGCACTACTTAGTCAAATACATACTTTTACCTTGCATGCTTAGAAAAATACTGTATTCCCTGCAACACCTAGGGCAGGTCCTCAGACCTCTCTGTAGTTGAAAATCTTGCTTGATGTTTTCCTGTAAGTTAAAATTTGTAAGATCCTGCAAAAGTAAAAAGATAAAAGATAGAGATTAAAAAAATTCTATCACCTTGCTATTAAGAGTTAGGCAGAGTCTGTTTTTCATTGCTTCTTTTTTTTTTTTCCATGTTAATCATAGCTATTACTATGCCAAAGTGCTGAGAAAATATGTTTCCTCAAAAAGTGGGAATATAAAATTGATACACAAGAGAAATCGATGTCCTTTAGTACAGCTTGAAATGAAGGTGTTACTGGGGAATTAGTTTCATTGCAGTAGTATTCACGTTGCAATAGTTGGGCGGTAATTATAGCTCAAAATCTGAGTTATGTGAGTTCCACTTGTTTGGCTTTATTATTGCATCCATCGAATGCTATGCAACACAAATTAAAAGCTGAATATTTTTTTGCTGCAGTTGAGAATTTTGTTATAGAAAGAATGACAATTGTACTTCTCAGCCCTGGTAAGATGTTACTGGCTCTCCCGATCGTTCAGAGCTATACATGTGCTTTGTGCATGCTGTGGTACTGATTTTTAAGGCAAGTTTGTGCGTGTCAGTGTATGTTGGATGTGACGTCTACAGGTCAGTCCTTACACATAGGTTGTTGAGTTCCATAGAAAGTGCATGCCTGTGAAGCAATCTCCAGAAAAAAGCATACCTTTGCTTTAGCATTAGAGCTGCCTTGGATTTTTTCTGTAGTGTAATCAAATCAACTGCTTTAATCTTTGTGTCTCAGGAGCTGTGTAAAGATGGCTGGGGATTGAAGTCCCATTTTGCAGCTAAGCTAAGATATTTGTGGAGAATCTGAGGTGGCTGATTGGGTGACTAAACATGCAAGGATTGAGCCTCCTGATGACATGTATATTCAGACAGTGGTAAGAGTTTAAGAGCACTTCAAGCCTTTCCACACTCTAATTTTACACACATGTCCGTGCTGTAATTAAAATGTAATAATGTTCATCTTCAGTATTATGCAAAATTGATTAAATTTACAGGATTACAGTGTTTTAATCTGCTTGCGTGTAAGCCTGAAGTGGCCAGGAGCTACAAGGCATAAAAATGCATACAGAAAATGTGCTCTTGTGAAATACTGATAGCTGGCATGCAATACGAGGAGAGAGTTGAGCTGATTACAGAACTAGATGTGTCCAGTTCTGGGACTCTGAGCAGAAGAATAACATGGAGCTGTTGGAACATGGGCCCTGAGGAGGGCCCCGACGGTGATCAGAGGGCTGGAGCACCCCTGTGAGGACCGGCTGAGTAAGCTGGGGCTGTTCAGCCTGGTGAAGAAAAGGCTCTGAGGAGACCTTATAGCAGCCTTCTAGGTCCTGAAGGGAGCTTAAGGGGAAGCTGGGGAGGTACTTAATGTAAGGGCATGTAGCAACAGGATGAGGGGAAATGCTTTTAAACTGGAAGAAGGTAGATTTAGACTAGGTGTTGGGAAGCAGTTTTTTTACTTTGAGGGTGGTGAGAGACTGAAACAGGTTGCCTGGTGAGGGTGTGGATGCCCCTTCAAGGTCCGGCTTCGAGCAGCTTGGTCTATTGGGAGGTGTCTTTGTCTATAGCAGGGGGCTTGAACTAGATGGTCTTAAAGGTCCCTTCCAAACCATTCTGGGATTGTGCATTGGTGACTCATTCCAGGGGAAGCCATGACAGGGCTTCAACAGGTGGGGAAGTGAATGTCCTTTGGCTGTCCTTACCTCCCATCTCCTCTCTAATAAGAGAGGCAAGTTTGGCAACAAAGCAATGCAAAATACATTTGTGCACACAGTGCTTAGCAAGAGTGATTCAGTGTTTGTGCAGTAGAGTGAACATAGTGAACCTAATCTCACCTTTACATTTTATTCAAGACCAGCAGACAGAGCTGTGAGTCATTTGTAGGTGTAGCTGCCTTCTGGGGGAAAATAAAGGGGTTGTGCTGCAAGCAGTTTGGACCACCTCATTTATATATATATTTTTTAAATATGTGGACTACTTGGAAGCGCTGCAGATGAGAGCAAAAATAATGAATTGTGTAGAAAGACAGAAAACAGTTTGTTTAGTCTGAAGGAAGGAAAAGTGAAAGAGGTGTTAACAGTTCCATAAAAATAAAAGCTGCTGCAAGGGCAAGTGGGGAAAAAATTGTCATTGTATTTGTCATTGATGGACAGGTGAAAACATCTGTATTCTTTCTCTCTTTTTTCTTCTTTACTTAACCTTTGCCAATTATAAGGTGAGAATTTTGTCAGTTCTTCAGGTCTTCCCAGAGAGTGTGGTGTGAGAACCTTCCTCAAGCTTCCTTTGTTCTGCTCAATGATGGGTTTAGGTATACGAATTGCAGCTGATATTTTTTATGTTGTTCAAGTGGAAACCTCGAGTAAAAATAATGAGATAAATTAATTTCCAATTGGAGATCCTTATACTTGTTAGAAAAGAATGATTTAACTAAAATTCAAGTGAAAAGATTGAATGTGAAATCATCTGCTCATTTTTCCTGAAAAAAAGGCTCTAGCAGAGCAGCTTTATATTGATTAAAAACCAAAATCACATCATTGATATTATAAGCTTTAAGTATTACTCTGAAGTCTCTTCACATAACTGAAATGTAGGCGATAACAAAGATATTTCTACTGCTGTTTTTGCTCTTTTCTACTGCAGAGATGAGCAGGAATGTGCTGAAAGTGGGATTTGTAACTCTGTGCTGCAGAGCATTTGGTTTGCATAGTGGAAGGCAAGTCAGAACTCAAGAAGTGGTGGGAAAATGATCTCTAACACTAGTGCAGTAGTGGCAGTTGGGTGGCAGTTGGGTGTTTGAAAATGATGGCAATAAGAATTAAACTCAGTGTGAGAGCTTACAGGCATGTCTTGCATCTGGTTTAGGATTAGATGAAGTGTATGATGGTGACTACCTTCACACAATGAGTTGCTGTAGGATCTGTGAAGTCAGACTAAACTTCAGCAACTCCTAAGTCTGTATTTATATTACAAAAGAAATTTGAGGCACTTAATTAACTGTCAATTCCTTCTAAGACTACCAGGGCCAAGCTCTGCTCTCTTTCCGAGTGCTCTGAGCAGAGTGTGAAGGCACTCCTGTGATGACTTCTAGGGTCTGTAAACTGTGCCTTAAAAGTGTGGCTGCCAGCTGCCACTTGCAGAATTTTGCCTTTACCCACAAACGTGTGGAATGATGGCTTACCTTCTTGCAGGTGATAACACAGCAAAGCGTCTGGCATAGATTGGGGCAGCCTGTTATGTCCCTGTTTTTATTTCAAGCTGCAAATTAAAGTTCAGGTCCCAAGCTGCCTCCTTCTGTAAGCTGAACAGGCCCAGCTCTCTCAGCCTCTCTTCAAAGGAGAGATGCTTCAGCTTCTAAAATATTTTCATGGCCTTTGTTAAACTGCCTTTATTGTGTCCGTGTCTGTCCTGTACTGGACAGCCCAGAACTGAATGCAATGCTCCAGGTAGGGCCTGCTTGATTTTTGTTCCATTTTGAAGCTGACATGTAGTAAGGATGCTTGTCTCTACCTAGCCACTTCAAAGGCTTTTAAATAGACTTTTTGTATCTGCAGTAGGTCTTGTGCTGTGATAGAGGTCTTTCGCACAGGTGAAAAGTTTTAAGTTGAAAACCTGGAGTGGAGAGATGATGATGCTTAGTCCCAAGGCCAGGTAGGATGAGGCCCTGGGCAGCCTGGTCTGGTATTAAATGGGAAGGTTGGTGGCCCTGCATGTGGCAGGGTGTTGGAGATGGATCATCCTTGAGGTCCCTTCCAACCATTCTGGCCGTTCTGTGAAAGGAAAATGAGGTTCTGAAAAGAGACTCCATTTTTTTAATGGTATGTAAAATTAGAGAGGGATCTAGGTGACTTCTGGGCAAATGTAGATCGTCTGAAAAGAAGCTCATCAAAAGCACAGATCTCTGATCTAAGAGAAAAAATTAGCCAAGAAGAGGAATTTGAAGACATTTCACACCCCCCAGTATTTGTTTCTGTAAAAAAACAGCCAGAGGTCAAAACCTCGTTGATTGTGTTGAAAGGATTGGTGACCTCAGTCTGTGTGTAGTAGAAGAACTTGCCTTCAGTTCTACTGCCTCACAAGAAAAGCCTGTGCTTGTTTCCTTGAATGTTTTTTCTTTGTCTTCTCTCAGTGTACAGGTTTCATTTAATCTGCTGTTGGGCAAGAGAGAGCAGACTTGGACTTATGGTCACAGTGTGTGCAGTTTAAACTGTCTCTGAGTAGCGATTCTGTAGTTTAAGGTCCTTCTGTGTTTTTATCTTATGCTATAGACTCAGCCTCTGTAATTGCATATTTTAACAGCCTTTTTTTGTTTCTCATGCAACTTGTTCAGGTTATGTCTAAAATAATGGCTGACACTTGCCGCTGGGTTTTCTAGGAGTCTGATCACTTGATTTGGGGAATGCGTTGCACTCCCCATCAGAAAGTCTTGGCTTCTTTCCATGGAAGAATATATAAATTTTCTGTGCTATTTGATTTATTATTTAGATATGCTTACCTAATTTGATGCTGTGTTCATTAATAAGTGATTCCTTGTTTCATAGCACAGTGCCAGTGTTTGTGGGCATTGCTTCAAGAGCATGAAAACTGATTCAGTAAATAGTTTGGGAATGCAAGCAGCTGATGGGATTCTGTTTTAAGGAAAGTGTTTTGCTCTTTAGACCTCACTACTGCTGAAAAGCTTATCTGCATTTCTGAGCTTCCTGTAACT